TCGCAACGCACATAGCGTGGCTAGGCTAGGCAACCCGCATAATGCATTTGCTGACCATACTTACGCATTTTGATGGGAACTTTTGCTAACAGCGGAAAATAACAACTTGTTAGTTTCCCATCGAAGCTTTTCGAAAACATTATTTGACCTTTTGTTTCGAAACCAACATTCCGGCCCCTTAAAGGTGATTGGCCTTTACCTAAATATTTATGGGTTAGAAACATACGACGAAACTAAGCTAGCGCTAGAAAGAATATAGATTGTTCATAATTATTGCCGTCCATTTGCTAAACTAATATTAGTAGTAATAAAAATTAACTATGTATTGTCTACTTATCATTCACTGGAGTAGCTTCAGATTCCAAGAAGATGATCTTGTCCACTGGTCGAACGAACACTGATGAGCTTGTCTTTACCTTCACAGAACGTACAAGATCATCCCTTCGATTTAGTGTGCACTTCCAGGATATGTCCAAGTGGCCAGGAACAACGTGCAGTTTTCTCGTCCAGAATCAAAACGATGTCGCCGACCGCCAAATTTCGTTGTGTCTTGATCCATTTCTTGGCGTTCTTGTAGTGATCGTAGATATTCCCTGATCCGTCGCCTCCAAAACATGTTTGCCAGATATTGTACTTGACGCCATCGCTTTGTACTACAACAATCTTCCTTCGAGAACATTCCGGGTGGTAACTTTGGTACACTTCGAAGGAGTAGAAGGTGGTTAGGGGTTAAAGGTTCACGATCGCGGGGGTTGGACAATTTGGTCAATGGCCGTCCATTGACAATAGCTTCCACCTTGCACATCAATGTGTTGAGGCCTTCGTCATAGAGTAACTGTTCTTTTGTAATAGCTCTCGTTACCTTTCGAACTGTTCATATGCACCTTTCCCACACCCTACCGTGGTGTGAGCCTGTGGGTGGATTGAATGTCCATTTGATGTTCTGTTGAACGAGAAAGTCGTGAATCTGCACTTAATTCCATTTGTTTATCTCTTGTCGTAGATCCCATTCACCCTTAACGAAATGACCGCCATTGTCCGAGCGCATTACTTCGGGTTGGCCTCGTCTCGCGATGAATCTCCGCAAAGCGTTTACAAATGATTTGGTATCCAATGAATTCGCTACTTCTATATGAATAGCTCGAATGGTCAGGCATGTGAAGATAACACCATATCGCTTTGCCCTTGTTCGTCCATGGTGTACTTCGAACGGACCAAAACAGTCCACACCAGTAAATGAGAATGGGGGCTTTTCGGGGGTTGTACGATCTGGCAGTAGGCTTGCCATTTTTTGTTCAGCGGCGGGAGCTCATCGTTTCCTGCAGCTAACACAACCATTCAATACCTTTCGTACCGTAGATCTTGCTTTAATTATCCAGAACCTCTCTCGTATTAAGGATAACATGTATTCTAAGCCAGAGTGGCCGGAGATGTGGTGGTAAAACGTGGTGATCAGGTTAACTACAAGGTGGGTTTCAGGAAGAATAACTGGGTGACGAGCGTCACTGTCAATCTGTGCTCGTTGGAGACAACCGCCAACAGGAATAAGGCTGTCAACTACAATAGGGTCGAGTTTTGAAATGTTACTAGTCTTGCTCACTGAGATGTTACCATTCTTATTTTGAAGACGACTGAGTTCGTCCTTAAAGCAGTTTTGTTGCACGAGCTTCAGAATTTCAATTTCGGCATTGACTAGTTCTGTCAAACTGATTTGGTAGTATTTCTGCTGATAGGTGAAGTTTTGACCGCTCTTGCCTTTGAGATTGACAATGCAAACTCAGATTTCTCTTGTAGCGTAGTATCCATGCAAATACTCTCTTTAGGCGGCTCCATGATGAAAATCGTTTGATGAATTGTTCCACGAATTGGTTATTGAACCTATTCGAGACATTAGTGGCGTAAACTAATGAACTCTTCTTTACCTCTGGATCATCGTCTGGAACAGTTGCAGTCAACTCTTCAGGTCTCTTTGGCCATGCTTCGTCCGGTTTAGAAAGGAAATCTGGACCTTCTATCCAACGCTGAAGAAAATCTGCTGGAACACCTCTTGATGCGTCGTCTGCTAGGTTTGAATGAGTGTCTACGTAATTCCATTGAATAGGGGTTGAAGCATCATTTATTGTTGCAATTCGATTTGCAACAAATGTTTGAAATCGCTTGTTTGTGTTTTCGATATAGCGCAAAACACAAGCGCTATCTGTCCAGAAGAAAGATTGATCGATAGGTAGACTTAGTTTGTTTCTCAACATTTTATCGAGTTCATTGAAACGACAGCTGCTGATTGTTCCATTTGTGATATCGTTACCGGTTTTATGGGTGCAAGTCTGGATTTCCCCATAACGAATGAACACTTGACGTTTCCCGAAACGTCTTCTACTCTGATGTAAGAAACTGCCCCATAGCCTTGTTGTGAGGCATCCGAAAAATGGTGGAGTTGCGTTGATTTGATTTCTTTCATCGTTGCTGGTTTGAAACAGTATTCAACAGCCAGGTCTTCAAGTTGAGGTATATCATTTAGCCATGTTTGCCAGCATTTGAGAAATTCATCTGGAATTTTGTCGTTTAGACGACAAAGATCTTGTAGAATCAACATCGTTGAGAGAATATAAGGGGCTACGAATCCGAGTGGGTTGTAGACCCAACTGACGATTGACAGTATTCCTCTCCTTGTTGCTGGTCGATCTTTAATTACGATCGCGAAACCAAACGTATCCGATGATACGTTCCATCGAACACCAAGTGCTCTCTCTATCGGGGTCTTGTCGAAATTCAAGTCCTTGACTTGGGCCACTCTTTCCGATTCGGGCAAGGACTCTATCACCTTTCTTGAATTCGATAGCCACTTTGTTAACTTAAATCCTCCCAGAGCTAACAATTCACATAGATCCTTTGCTAGTTTAATGGCTTTGTCTTCTTTGCGAACTGATTTCAGACAATCATCAACATAGAAATTGCATTGGACTGTTTCAATGGTTTGGTCATCGAACTGTGATGCATTGTCCACCGCCATTTTCCTCAGAGCAAAGTTGGCACAACTAGAGCTGGAAGAACAGATGGACGTTCATTTGACATTCTTCAGCTGGGGTTTCAAGGTCTGCATTTGGCCACCATGGAAATCGTAAAGCATCCCGGTTGCTTGGTCATACACAGACTTGATGGAACATCGCTTCGATGTCAGACATAAATGCAATGGGTTCTTCGCGGAATGGATTCTTCGTGTTTTAGGACTAGCTCTTCTATTTCAATCTGATGTAGACGCCGCAGGGTTTCTGCTTGGGCTTCTAAGGCTGCCTTTTTCGCTGCTGCCTTCGCTTTCGCACTACTCAGGTGGTGTGTGCTCGGGGACCCAGGCCTCCAATTTCAGTGTTTATATGGCGTGGTCAAGGGAATTCCGAAATACATGCCGAAAAACGACCCTGGTGGAAAGATATCAAATTTTCGATGTTTAACTAACTTTATTAGCAACTAAATTTAACTGATGTTTACCTTGTATACTTGTACTAACCTTGTTATAAGTATTTCGTCAACAAACAACGACAACGAGACTTAATTCGCAAAAATTCACACACGCTACCGTGTGGAATATGGTGGAAGGCATCGCTCTGAGGTAATTTTGTTGTGATCTTTTTTATGTGTAGTAATATTAAACGGCTTAGTCATGTTTGTCTGTTTTGCAGACAATAAGTTTATTTGTATAAATATTTAAAGGCACTCCATTGCACTCCACTAATTCTATTTGAAAAACTGATCTGAATATGTGTTATTTTTCAGAAATTGCACAATTAGTTGATATTAGTTCATCATAGCATGTTCAGTGATGTCCCAATGAAACAATAATTATAGATCATTTTAAAAGCGTGTTAGCCCGCGAATTGCCTTTTCACATTTTGATGTATTTCATAAATAATACATAGTACTTCATGTTTTGGGTTTTAGGTGGCCCTCACAGTGGACTAATAAACTGAATGTAAAAACACTGGTGCCAGTATGCAGGATAAAACGGACTCTATTCTTAAGAGGGCTCACATAGCAAAAGGAGGCACTCCAGGGAAATCAAACCCTAAATACAGTCGAATAGGTGGAAATCAGGGAAATCAAACCCTAAATACAGTCTGCCTCGGAGAAGGTCTTTATTCAAGAATGAAGATGTATTGCCAACAGAGACACTGGTAGCTCATTCTGTCAAAGCAGCAAATTGGAAAAATGAAGAATTGGAAGCAATTGTACAATATATTGCTTTATACAAACCAAGTTTTGAAGATGAGCATTGGCCAGCAATTAGAGATGGTGCATTCTGGGAACAATGTGCAAAAGCTGTACATCAGTACTCTGGGCAACCATTGCGGACAGGTGGACAGGTACCTTGTATATTGTCTATACAGTACATTGTAACCTTGTTAATATGGTCCCCAACAGCCTAAAAATTTTTTGGCTGCATTAACATGGTGACTATATTAACAATGTAAATTTAATGGGAGAAGTATATGCTAAAGTTGCAAATTGTGTAAGAAAACTCAAACTAAATACTGCAAATAATTACATTTTAATCTTGTGCATTTGTGAGTGATTCATTGAACAAATATACCGATATTCTTTTTGTAAAATCTTTAAGATGTCACCATAACAAAATCCATCATATATCAATTAAACTAGATACACAACTGAGAGGTATATTCAATAAACTAATATCCTGCTTACAAACAAATCGATGAACAAAAAATCTACAAACACAATCTCCAGTAATCTCATTGTGAAGGTGGACATGTATACTACGTCAAGAGATATTTTTGGCCATAATTTTCTAAATATTAATTTATTAATATCTTTTAAGGGGCAGCTATCCGAACAAAAACACTAAAGTACTTGGCAAAAGAATTTTCGAGTGTAACTGATGCAGAGAACTTTTATGACATTGATTATTTTCATTGCAAGTCACTTTTAACAGAATGTTCAACCCAAAATGATGGTTGGAAAATGTAAATAAGTCACAAGGAGATATCATGCAAGAACTTATCTCAGCCTTCAAATGCAAACTCACAAAGAGAATGCAAGAGCAGATGATAAATCAGCTTGTACAGATATGGATTACTCAGCACTATGGAACTGAATTTTACTATTACATGAGCAAAGATTTCTTACCTTTGGCTGTTAAAGGGATGAATTTGTTGAAAGAAAATAATAAGAAAAACTTGTTTCTTGCTATGAGTAAATGCTTTGGTGAGGAAATTAATGGCAAATCCAGGATGAATGTTAAGCAAATGCCATTTGGGCTTATATCATATAATCTACAGTTTTTCGCTTCTGATCATACAGCAAATATTAAGATGGAGAATGATTACTTGGAGTGGCAAACCACCATGCATGCTCAGTTTGGCCACAAGTGGGCTTGCCTGCACCGAGGTCCAGATGATAGTGGCAGTGACTGTGAGCCAGCAACCGATGGTAATGATAATGTACCTGCTGACAATTTGAATACTTCATACGAGACAGGTTTTATATCAGAATATCAAAGTTCTGGGAATGTCGACTTGATTCAACTAGCTCTGGAAGATTGCGAAATAGGCCTTCAAGCGGAAGACGGCGAAGCTGATACGGTTTGTGATCCTGACATTTGTGCACTAACAGAGGGCCTTAGTAATGTAGCACTAACAACAGATGTTACCCAAACTGATATGTCATTGTTGTGGAGTAGCAATGTTGCTGAACGAAATGAGGAGCTGGCATCAGGGGCGCACATTCAAAAAAAATTTGGGGGTGTCCTTTTTCCGGGACCGACTTTTGTAGTATTTGTGTTTGATAAGAAAAGCCAACTATTTTAAGATGTGCACAGTACTCGTGAACCGGTGAAAGTTGTTCGGTTTAATTAATGTCACAGTCTTGTTATAAATACAATTAATATAAAATTTAAGAGTTGGACGTATGGTACAGGGCCGTAGGAAACTCTTTTCGATTGTGGGGGGGGGGGGCTGAAAGCGATGGCGGAGGCCAGAGGAAATTTTTAAATTTAGAGTCTCTGCAATGCCATTTCCTGGACTTTGGGGAAGATTTAACAGAATTCTGATAGTCAGAAAAAAGGGTTTTAGTATGTCGAAATTTACAATTTAGTAGTACTAAATGGCCGAAGGCGTATTTAATTAACTATTAATATGTTGAATAAGTTGCAGGAAAGTGTGGGTAATACCATGGATTGTAAAATAACATGTACTTTATTATCCATGGTAATACCTTCATTCTTTGCAGTTTGTCACAGATTAAATGATAAAGGTCTGCATGACATGCTACGGCCCTGTGGTTATTGCACAAAGTCGAGTAACTATGTAAAAAAATAGTATACAGGGGTGTCAAAAAGTAGACCGTTAGAAATTAACCTGTTGTTCTAATTTGAATTTATAGCCAGTATATTAGCCACAAGCCCACAGTATTATTAAAGAATAGTACATTATTAAAGTCAAAAGCTCAACTATAGACAATAATGGTTCAAAATAAATCTATAGTGCATGCCCACATGATATTCAACTAAGAGTATTAAATATCTGACAACTCAAATTGTTTAGAAAGTTATAGCAATTAGCAATAGATTTCAGGCAGTCAAATCAGTTTTTAAATAGTTCACCTGCACAGCTTATTTGATCGAAAAATGACAATCGGAATTACTTCACACAAATAAGGCGTTCTTGTTTTGGCAGCTCGGCG